GGTCAAGAAACAAGCGGTAATCATACACATGTAACGTACAAGGAAAAATCACTAGGCTGAAGTAACATGACAGAAAACACAATGAAGTAGGACCATAAGGGAGGTCAGAAGGTGATAAACAGTCATTCAGGGGATAACGAGACACAGGTGGGTTCAATTAGGGCGTCGCTGACATACAAGGTGGGACAAACGAGGAGGATTTAGAGGACCGAGACAAGGTAACAAAATAAACAGGAATCACTATAATGATGAATAACATGAACTAGAAAAAACATAATGACTGGACCATAGACTGTATATATGAATGAATGAAGCCTGAGTGACGTCAGCCATCTGTTACTGCAGGGGGTTCTGGAGGCTCATCGGCAGCAGCCGCCATGCTGGAAATCCTGATTCAACCTAACTTTCAGTCAACCTAACAGACTGATAACTGAGGCTGAGGCAGGTTTTAAGCCTCTTGACGAACCGTTACATCACACCAACCTGTCAATCACGTCAGCCACGTGCCTAACTATGGATAACACGTTGTTCATAAAATCAAAACTGAGCTGTTTAAAAAAAATCACCCCCCCCCCCCGTACAGTGTGTGCCCATGATGACAATGACTAATCAGACCTTTTTCATTTTTTGTACCAGGATGTAAACATGTTGATTTATGATGTAAAAACTGCTTTTTTGGCTTTGGTGTGTATGTGACTTCCCTGAAACAGCCTTATATGGATGTATTTCAGCTTAGGGCTTTCATACTAAATGGAGTTAAAAACAATGACTCCTTTGATTAATAATTCAGCCGACATTAACCTTAAACCACGCATTTTATTAATCTGTTCATTGTATCTTTAGATTTATATATTAAACTGTCAAACATCCCACAATAAAGCTTGCATTTGATTTAAACTTTTTTTTTTTAATTACTAAACTAAATACAAGTTTGTAATTTCAAGTGATCAACATTTATTTATTGTTTAAAAACATTTGAACCTTTTTTTCAGTTTATTTTTTGTTATTTACAAATTCCAACAAATCAAAGTTATTACTCATAACAGCTCATGACGTCTATGAACATAAAAAAAAGAGGTTCCCACTGAAGCTAGTTCTACAGGAGTGTTATTCAATTTTGGCTCACTGCCTTTATGTTGCTGCAGGCAAAATTGATTTTCCCAACGTGACAACGACCCAATATTAGGTGTAAAAGTCACTGTGACAAAAGACACACACAAAAAGTTGAATCACACCGTGGGAAAGCATCAGTAATTGTCTGGGAGTCTGGATATTACCGTCAATAGTGAATCAGTCAATGGAAGTTCAGGTTTTACTGGTCACATGTGACAGCTCATGTTGGCGCTTTAACTTTAGCGCCTTTATGGAAGAGCAGGACTGAAGAGTAAAATATTCCATGCTCCCAGGAACTGAATTTATATAAGTTTTTAAAATGTTTAGATCTAATTTGTTGTTTTCTTTAAACAGTAGATTTGATCATATGTCCACTTGACATCAGTGTGTGTTTTCCCCTATAGGGATGTTATGAACAATGTCAAGTTGCTGGGCAGTTTAGTGCATAGGCTGTAAATTATCACCTCTCAGACATTGCACCGGACACTGGCAGTTTTGACTCATCTGGATTTCCCCTACATTAGTCACCAACTGGAATATACACACAGACGCACACAAGTATGTCCACCACATAACCCCCTCACTGTGTGAGAGCGATTGGCTGCAGGGTGGTGTATGTGACTGACACTGATAATACATCTCTTCATGGTGCAGCAAACGTGGGAGCTGCTTCATCAGCTGCTCTGACAACTGCTCTCTGGCATCCCGTATGTAAACTCTTGGCATTAATAAGGCTGTGTGAATGGGGTCTCATAATGCTATCAGGAATCAGGACAATGAATACACAACAATGAATTAAGGAGATATCAGGCCGTTCTGTCACACAGGCTGGTCGCCATCTCTGGTTTTGACTGCAGATACAATTGCAGATTAAAGCGAGCTTATCGCTCTCAAATCGGAGCCTTGCGAGGATAATAACCACGTTAGACATAAGCGCACTCCTACTGATGACAGTGCCAGAGATGTCACTGACGTAGCTGTCAACTCATAAACACACACATACATGTCAAATGAAGTAATAGGGGTTTGGTGACTGGTTCCCAACGCCTGTGTCTTAGAGTAATTAATGATGTAAGGGTTTCAGATGTCGTCGTAAATATCAGATTTAATGACATCTTGAGGTCAGTTTGTCCTTGTTATATCGAGAGGGGGACACAGACAAAGCTGTAGTGTAAAAGCTTTATCGGAGAGAAATTGCTTTGGGAATAACATAATAATCATGCTCAACTTTTACAAGTGACAAAAGTGACTTAATGTGTTGGACTTTTATTTTCCAATTGGGATCTTATTAAAGAGATCAAGCTGATTAGCAACAACTGCTGTGACCTTGGGGAGTAGTTACTTAGACAGTCTGACAGTCACAGTGCAGTGGCGTTTACTAGGACTCAGTTGACATCATGTTTAATATTCATGTTGTGAAAAAAAAAGTGGCAGTTGATCAATGCTTTTTTAGCTTTATGAACTTGTGTATTTATGATGTAAAAAATAAATTCTACAATTTTGAGATTAAACTCGTAAATTTACGAGAATAAAGTCATACATTTACGAGATTAATGTTGTTATTTTAGTCTATAGTTATATCAGAAGAGCAGCAGCCACCTGTTTGAAAATGACAAACGTGGAGCATCTTGTGCAGTTGTAGCATACATTAGTAAATAAATAAGGAAATATGCTACTTCCTTGTGTAGTCGGTAAAAACAGACAAAAAATATCTGATTAGTTGTGATATAATATTTACAGTCTATGGTTGGGGCTTTACTTATGCAGATATGAAACTACACTTGCTTTTAGCGCATCATCTTCACATTGTCATAAAATATCAGGACCCTGAAAAGATACTGCAAGAAACCAGGGCTTTTCCGAAGAAAGACCCCCACTGACTCGGAGGGAAACTGTGTCTTTTGTGGCTTTAAGGCTTCTCCTTTCATCATTTCCGCACAGGCGGATAGCTGCTCTTTTGACAGACTTCAACCTTTCAGAATCATAATTTACATAGCCTAATTTAAAGTGATTTATGAATTTAATCTTGTATATTCTCATAAATTTAAGAATTTAATCTCAAAATCTTTTTAACATCACCCTAATCCTCTGTCGTATTTTGAAGTCCTGTTCAATACACGTTTCAGAATAAATCATTTTTGTTTAATAGTTTGTCCTGCTGCTCTGTTAAACTAAAGCCAGCCTCAACTGGACACATGATGAATTGAAGTTTTTTGCACATCTGCTTTGGCTTCATTATTCAACATCCAAGGGTTGCTGCTTGACTTGAAAATGGCCACTGTGCACTTACCGGACACAATGGTCAAAACACAATTCTTCTTCTTCTTCTTCTTCTTCCACAAAGGTGCCACAATAACCAACATATGTGGCACCTTTTCAAATTATTTTCATGGAAAGGAACACAAATGAAAATGTAACTTTTCTTCTGTTTCATCCAAGGTTGCAAATACGTTGCCGTAATGACGTGTCAGCCCAATGTATGTTTAAATCGGACCGGTAGACTGGACCAAAAGTTGAGTCCTATTTAGTGTCATCAGAATGGCTTGCCTGGTGCATACACCAAAAAGCGCTGAGTAAGAAAGAACACAAATTGATACTCTGTATAGTACAGATAAAATGATATATATCCTTAAAACAATATGGATTCACACAAGTGTAAAGCATAACTTAAACTTAAAGTGAATGCTTAATAACATCTGTGTATGATCAATTCAGGTCTGTTTAGCATGTATTGGCTGAGTCTGAAAATCTTTATTTGGGAATCTTGTTTGATAGCAAATAACTGTACTCATGTAGAGTACATCTCTAATGTAACAGCTGTGTGAACACATCATCACGTCACCCTGTTGGCCCACAGTGTGCCCGTCTGCTGTATCACTACGGCCTCTCTCATAGGTGCAACCGCAGGCAGTCAGCGGGGAGAGAGAGGCTGTATGTCTTTATTAAAAGTACAAGGGAGCAGCTTAGAGGTTTGTGTTCCCTGGATACACCACATCTATTTATTATCATTCCCCCGGCTGTGACCCTTCCTCTTATTTTTAAACCTGATTCATCTGTGGTTCATCTCTGAAAACCACACAAGACCTATAGGTTTACAGTGGCACAGTACTCGGATGAGAGGAAGAGTCGGATATTGAATTGGAAGTATGCGCTAAGATGTTAGCACGATATGTGTGCGTGCTGAAATAAGAGTTTATGTGAGCTACTGTAAAGGGTTTTAAACGGGCTGTTTTGTCACGTGGGTCTTTATCTCTCTCTTTAAAGCTTAAAGAGAATATAGGAGGGTTATTTTCTGTTAACAGCCAACGTTAACATCAATAAGCCGACACAAACATTTCATTAGACGTCTGACATGTTTCACCTTCTTCAAATCAAACATCCTGGTGATTTTTCACTGACTGAATCTTTTGCTGTATCGGCACCAATTCAACCATCCCCGGCATTCACAGTTTATTTATGGTCGTGTTTAGCCTTCTATTTGATTGAGAAGCGTGACGCAACAGATGTGCCTTGAACCACTAAACCCACTGGGGAATTCTGAGTAAGAATATCAGAAATGCCTAGAGAAACACAGGGCTGAGCTTTTCAGCATGGTGGCCAGCTAGCTGTGTTTGTTGTGTGGGTGGTTGGGGAGGTGCAGGGTCAAATGTAGTTGCTTGATATCTATATCCTAGCAACTGAGAGTGAGTGATGTCTTGTACAGCTGTAGCTGGGGATTGGTCAGAGATCTGGCACAAGCCCCGCCTATTTGTAGGCTAGCCTAAGAAAGAATACCTAAATTCAAAACATCTCTCAAACTTTCTCCACTCTGCACTGTACCCTCAGGCACTTTAATCCAGGCCTTTATTTATTTATATTTAGAACTTATTTTTTATTTTCGTCGTTAATTCTCGTGCACAGCTGTTGATACGTGTGTCTTTATGACAAGCTGATTATTTTGAAGATCTCAGCAAAGTGAAGTTTGGCATGACAACATGAATTCTCCCTACACAGCCGTGCAGTATTACCCAGAGTTTGCCTTCCATCGGTAAGTACACACATGATGTACAAACGAAGGATTTGCTTCATAAGTTTTGCCTTTATAGTTTATCTGATGCCATGTGATTTTATAATCATGTAATTAAAAGACATTGAATAGCTGAGACAGAGTATTCAGCTTGACAAAGACACTGCATTGATTTAACATGTGGTATCACAGCTGTATATTCAGCCGTTCTGCTGAACTTATTAAACGCGCTGGGAATCTCCCTCCTCTGTGTTTGACCTGTGTGAACTCAGACTGAAAGTGTCTGGAGGTCCAAAGTGACCTGAGAACAGTTGTGTCTGCCTGGATCCTCAGCTGCTGCTCTGTCTTCATGTATTTATAAATGACGCTTACTTATGGCAACAATGCGCATAAAGGGCCATCAGGGCCGAGGTGGCAGACGCATTACATGACACCCTAATGGCCTTGGATTTATTCTTCTGACTCTTACAGTCCAATAAAAAAGTAGGTTATGATATGAAAGATGCCTTTAAGACGTTTCGATTTTAGGCTGACAAGACCACATTAGATGCGTTTTATTCATTTTCAGAAAAATATTTCATCTTGTACACTATGTACTTGGACAAACACAGCTTTTTAACCATTATCAAAGTCATGACGATAACATTATGTCAGAGCATTATGTTACTTCTTTGGCATCTGAGATTGTATATGTAGTTCAAGGTAGTTCAGTTCATCATTGACACAGGTTATACACCAGAAAATAAATCCAAACATTAAAGGATCCAATCAGGATGCTGCTGAGACTAAAGACGGGATCTAAAGAGGTAACTTACAAAAAAGTAACAAGGTAACAACCACTGAAATGTGATTGTAGGCCAATGACATAAAAGCGTATTCAGGTTATAAAAAATATATTCCAACATCAAACAGAATAAAAATAGATCTATCTATCTATCTGTCTATTGTATATTATTACAATTATTATTATTATTGTGCCATTTTTAATTACTGTTAGGTTTATTTATGATCAGATACACGTACCAATTCTTTAAATTTTCTTCCAAATGTATAGCTTACATCTTCCTGCACTTTATCTGGGTCAACCGTGCAATCGAATCCTTACGGGATATCGTGCACATTATTTAATGCATCTTCTTACACCATGTCCTTTTCCCTTCATTTGTCTTCAGATCCATAATGTTCCTTGTTTCTTTTTCCACTTAATGTGATGTTAAAGAGTCCTTCTATGTATTTGAAAGTCTGTTTCTCTTTATCTTCGGTCCACATCCAGTTTGCTCTTTGGTCAAACATAAAGTTCAGCCTCTTGGGCAAACATACATTCATTTGTTGGACCTTGAAAATCACACCACAGGCTTAAAGATGACTATGTGATGCTTTTAAATGAAACATCCAAGTGGTGTCTTGATCCATTTTGAGCAGGGGCAGTTTCTGTAGTATTAATGTTGTATGGTTTCTGGATTTTATTAAGTTTTAAGGTGTAAAGGTATTGTTTTGGTCCGCTAATTATCCTCCTCTCTTGGCTTCTTTGCATTCCAAACCTCAGAGGAATTTGTGCCTTTCTTTTTGCCCCAGAGGATTTGACTTCAGACTGTTTCACTTCTATAAAAGTAAATGGATAAGAGGGGGACAAACTTTGGGGCTTTCTATTGTTTTGCAGTCATGTCCCTCTTCCAGCCTGGGCTGACAGATGAGGAGGAGAAGGTCTAGGCCTTTGAACAAGTGATTAATAAGGACACAGGAGAAGGGCCCCGATCGGCTGGGCTGTTTGTTTTGATTGCATTTTCATCGGTCGGTGTGCCCAACCTGCCAGGAGACAATGGCCATCCCTGTTTAGTGCTGACCTTTGCCCCAGTCTTGTCTGGAGGCGCTGCATGACTTTAAGTGGATGCTGAACAGCCTTTGCCTCAGGCTAACTGAAAAACTCTGTAACCAGACACCAGAAAGCAGACAAACAACAGCCAGAACAGGGGTAAAGCCACCTATCTGGACAGTTTATAAAAAAACATCTACAAGTTCCTTTATACATCAGTGTGAACCTTGTAAAAAAATAAATTCATTCAGATTTTCCACTCTCCATTATGCTGTTGAATGAGTCAGATCTAATAAAGTCTAAGCAAGAAAAAGTCTTCTACAGCCTACTAGATTAAGATTAAAGTAGAAAAAAAGTTTTCTTTGTTCATTTGTTTATTCCTCTTGTTAACAATACGAGCACAGGGCATCAGGAGATGTGACAAAGGACTTAATAACATACTATAACATTTAAATAAACTTGGATGGCAGTTCATGTTGAACCTGGTGCACAAGTTTTGTGATTGTATTCTTTATTGTAACGGGTCAACAGACAATGCAGTGAGACAAAGTTCAAAACTCTTTTGGTTAGTTAACGAGGTGACAGTTGAACAGCTTTATGTGGAGTCAAATTTAAGCCCTCATTTAAAATAGTTTTATTGAGGTAAAGCAATAGATACTATGTTATTTTAATTATACACCATGTTCTGTTGTCCATTTTTTTAGTGACTGTGATCCATTTTTTCTAGTTTTGATTCATACTGATGTCTTTCTCTTGAAATTGTCCTCTCTTATAGTTTTGAATTTTGAATACTTTTATTGGGCAAAAGAAATGAATAGCTTAAACACTCTAATAAAATTAAAGTAAATTGAATTTGAAGATGTATAAGAAATGTTTCGTGGGCTATTTACAAAGCTTTTCCGTTTTAGCAAGTCAATTTATTCCAAAAGACAAGCTGGTTATTAGGGAGCAGGCTAGATCTATCTAAAATATTGTACCAAATATTATTATGATTTTACCATATTTCAGTGACAGAGAACAAGAAAAGGTTGGTTTCTGTTTGATGATTCGCATGCTGTTTTTTTTAATTAACATTTTATAGGATGTAATTTATTTAATTAATTAAATTTTTTAAATGCAAAAACAGCCACCACCGTTATCTGATGTATGTTCCCGCGAGACTTTTGTTGACATGCCAATGAGCACGGGACTTGAAGGCAAACACGAACAGGTAACATATTTTTATGGCTCAGTTTGTGTGCTTAATGAACTCCAGCAGGTAAAAATAATTTAGTTTACACAAGAGTGAATCCAAGTCAGGGCGGATTAAGGCATATCATTAATATTAGCTATTACTATTATACTAATATTGCATGCCTAGTAACGGTAGTTAGCCTGTGTTGATTAAGTTTCGTCCTCGACTCTACTTTATTTACCGTAAAAAAGTTATTTGTAGATAGACATAGATATATTCGTTTTGTTTCTTAAAGTTGCTAGCGTCCCAAAATGTCACAAGGATATATTATTTACTTCTCAAAAACTAGTTAATAAGGCTAGTTTGTGCGTGAACAACTATATCTAATGTAGCTGAATTATTACATGACGTCACAACGAGTCTAGTCGCCAATTAACTCTCACAGGTTATCAATGGCAATATTCTGCACATTTTCTGCTTCTCCTTCAACGTCTGTGAGTTTTAAGTGCCCTCAGCTTGTTTAAATGTATGTTTATTATTCCTTCAGTCATACTTTATTTGTAAAGCACTTTTCTTACAGTAAAAATGAAGCCTGTAGTCCTTTGCTTTGATAGAAAATCAATAAAAGTGATCAGCTGCCCCCCATTCATGGCATAGTGCTAAATAAAAACAGGGATTGATTAACTGAGGAAACTCAGAAGCTATGGTGAAAAGGGAGGAAATAAATGACAAAAATAGATTCAGATAATAAAGCGCAAATTAAACACTATAAAATAATCTAGTAAAATATAAGATCATTATAGGCTAATCATGTATACTTGATTTGTAATAAACAGGTACAAAAGATGTAAAATAATCTAAAACCTTATTTGTCATTGCTTTCAATGCTCCACTCCCTCATGTCTGCCTCCTGCACAAGTGAAATTATTTGCTTCATTAGATATGCCTGTGTTTGTAAGTCAGGTATTAATATCATTCATCACACAGAGCTGGGGAATTCCAAACCCTAAAATAGTGCCAGCTTCAGATTATACGCCCGTCTCCACCACCTTCCCCCCACAAGTCCGTCCAGCTGTACACATACCAGAAGTTGCAGCAGTGCTATCATATAGTCTGTGGGGGGAATTCCGCCTGTCTCAGACTCCTGCGTGCGCCACTTCAGCAGGAACAATGGCAGGCCGAGCTCTGAAGCAGGTGTAATGTTTCAAGGGAGCAGGTCAAAGTGCCTCTGTCTGAATGGTGCATAATCACCATTATGTGTAGTACAAATATTCAGTATTATGCAGGCTGACTTCTTCACAATGGAAGTGCCTTTCATGAATGGCTGCCAGCGGGACTCCTCCTCCTCTTTTTTCTACACTGGCTGGGTGGCCAACTCTCAGCCCTGCACATCTACAAATGTTGAATGTTTGCTGACATTGCAACTGTTAAAACGGCCGTATAAAATTGTTGTGCCTTACTTAAAAGAAACAAAATCCACCACTACATTAACTATTGCTTATTTGAAATATAAGAAGTAAAATGACAATAATTACGGTTGATTTTGCCTCCCCGCAGACTCAGGGACTCTTCATCTCGTTTGTCCTGGAGAGAGAGCTCGTTTCTCGCAGCTATGTCCCAGAATCAGTCAGCACAGACATCCGACTACTTCAGCCAAGATGTATTCAACCAACTGTTTGACATGCTGGACCAGTAAGTGAATTCTACAATCAAAGATAACAAAAAATAAATAAACACAAAAAAAAACATCCACAGTCTTAGGTGATTCTTTTTTAGTTTTGCCTGTCTCCTGTGTTTCAGGTCTGCCATTCATTCAGTCCAGCCCATTGAACTCAACTTCACCGACAGTCCAACTGATGGGTCCACAGGAAACACTATTCAGATCAGTATGGACTGCATAACCATGCACGAGCCAGATGAGAGCCTTTCTGTAAGTACGTAGGTTTGCTGTTAAAAAAAACGACTACTTTTAGTTTTGATATTTTTGTTTTCATTGTTCACAACAAGTAAACATTGTTGTTTACAAAATACTTTTTATTAGTAAAATGGGCGGTATATTTTTTCTGTATGGGTTGATGTTACTGATGAAATGACCTTAGTAAAAATAGTAACTGAAGATTATTTAATGCTGTCAGAAACAACGAAGATGTTTCAATTACACAAATTAGGTCAAAAAGCAAACTGCTCCAATTTCTTTCTGATCAATTCAGTTCATAGGAATACAAATCTTAAATTTGCAGTATTGTAATTTTTCAGCAAGCAGTGCAATTAACAACATGAAAATCAGTCTCATTTATAATTAGCAGAAATCAGCAAAATAAAAGCACAAACTTTGATTGAATAAATAATGTGATTAAATGTAATAATAGATCTCCAAAAAATATAGGGGGTTGCACAACAGAGAAGTTAATTTTCAGGCCAAAATCAAGTCATTAAAAAAAAAGACTTTATTGCTAAATCAGTGTTAGTAGATTTAGCTCGAGCTCAAAGACTTGATGAAGTTATCACAACTTATTGTTGGACAGATAAACAGCAGTACATCTACTACCTACACATTTAAGTCTGCCAGTTATCTTTGTGCAATAAGGTGTGCCTGACTAAAACCGTACCATCTGAGATGACTTTCATTCTGACTGAATGGGACTTCCGGCTGTAAATTCCATAAGTTTCACAATACACCCTGTACTTTCAATTCTCTTATTAACAATGGAATTTCCCCGGTACAGTTAACTGTGAAAATGTTGGAGTAGATTGACAGGCAGAGAATGAGGCCGGGTTATCTGTTTTTTTATTCCGAGATGTTGTCTGTAAGGTAATGATATTATCTCATTCAGACTGAGTTGTGCTTGACCTGGGTGGCCTCTTGTGAGACGAGAAGCTCTCAGAGTCTGTTGATGGTAGAATGCAAAGTGTCACATGACAGATGATGGATTTGATCTAATGAAAGTTTAAGTTTCATTTTTTGTTTTTCTCAAATAATTGAACGCACAATTCAGAGTGTGAGCTTGCTTCTTGTGATAACCTAGAAGAGACACTCAACATATAGTCAAGTAAAGCACTGTAAAAACATAAGGTGATATATTGGTGTAAATCAATACACCGTGTCAACTCCTTTCCCTCTGACCTGCAGTGAGGGACAGATCTCTGCCAGCCCTGCTGCTGAGAGATGATGTGCATGTTCCCCTCCCAGTGCAGGAATGCTGTTGTCCAGCCAGAGTGGAAAAAAATAGCAAATAAAAATTGTGTTCAAGGAGCTGAGTAATGTTACCCTTTGCATCCCCCAAGGGGGCCTGTGCTCTCTTGAACTGGTGATTAATGGTCCCACCCCCACCACCACCCACTTTCCTCTCCACCAAAGAGGGGCGTGGTGCGCTGATTGGCACGCCAGCAACTCATGCAGCATCCGCGTGGGGCTTAGACCTCGCTGCAATGGCATCTCGCCAATCACCAAGCCCTGATCGTTATTACCTAGTCAAGTGTCTGTTTTGATGAACAAAGATGGTGGGCAACACCAACCTCGCCCCACCTTCCCCCTCGTCCTCCACCCATGTGGAGGTGTGCCTCTTTCATGAGTCATTAGAATGCAGCTCACTGTTTAGTGCCCCGGGGGACTTATTTGTATTGTGTTGGGTTTATGTTTAATCTGAAATTCCTTTTTCTGCTGGATTTTTTTTTTCTGTAGCTGCAGGGCAACAATTTAACACAGCACCTGCCTCTCTAGCAGAGGTCCCAGCTCTCATCTATCAGTACGTGTCTCCTCTATGTGAAGGTGGGGGGTGGCAACAGGGCGGGGAGGGGAGGGGGAAGCAAGCAGAGGGTAGAATAACATGAAGGAATGTAGCAGAAATAGTGGCAGGAGTAATGCAATATCCTACCCCAAACAGCTGATTTTACACCCAGATAAAGCTCTGATCAGCTGTGCGTGGAGGACGCAGTGTGGAGCAGCGGGACAGAGGTTGTTTCAGCCACAGGAAAGAGTTTAAGTAACTTTACAGCAGAGAGTAGCTCCATCAACACACACGGCTTCCTAGAGATCTGGTTACATGTTTGTGTTTGGATTCTGCTTCTTTTTTTTCTTCTTTTTTTTCACCAAAGCTCGTGTGTCTCGAGTTTGATTGTCCCCTGGTTAAATGACCAAGTAGCTGATCAGTTTTCTCTACTCTTTCTAAAGTTTAACAGAATTTAAATCCATCATGATAGGATTCTCTCAGATGTGGTGCAATATTTACTATAGAGGAGTCAAATGTTTCCTCTTTAGTATTTTAAAGCTGTTCATTTTTCTCTTAGTATCCCCCTTATGTGAAAAAAGACAATAACCCCATCTCTCCCTTTATACATGTAGGTAGCCGTATCTCTTTGACACTAGTTTTACTTTTAGTTTTAAAGTTGAGTAACAAGAAGCGCAACTTTAATCTTGACCTATTATTGAGTTAAGAGACCAGTACTGTTTTGAATCTGAAGTAAGCAATCATATTAAGCTCTTCTTTTATGTGTTCATGCTCCACCAGTTTGCCTCCAGCACTTTTAAAAAGTGTTTTTAAAGGTGTAGCACCCAGGAACAAACGCTTGCCACGGTCTGCTTGAATAACGTTTGAGTCTGTGAGTCAGTGTGAGACCTTGTGTGACTGTGGATGTGGGGATGCTGCAGCATGAGCCCCCATCACCCTCATTTCTTGTATTTTTTTCTTACATCTTTCTTACAGCGTAGACCAGGCTTTATCTGTACTTTCATACAGCAGTTTTTATATCCCGCCAGATTCAACGGAAAAACATGTAGGTCACACCCTTTGAGGGAGAGTGCGTGAATAAATCCTCCAGCAGTAATCCCATAAATGTCTTTTGTAAAACATCAGTTATTCACATTGATTACAATTATTATGTGAGATTTTAATTCAGTTTTACTTTCTTTTTTTTTATACATGCCTGAGTCAGTTGGAAAGAAAGTAAAAGGTCTCCCTCAAGTTTTCAAAAAGGCATTTGTTGGGCTGAGTAAATGTTGGATACTTTGATTTGGAATAAGTAAGACATTTAATGAGAAATTAATGCTTTTCTTTCATATCCTAAATGACCTTATAATAACAATCACACCCTGGTTGAATACTTTATACTTTATTTAAATAATAACAAGACTTTCGAAACTCCAATGAACTAAACTCAGTCAGGAAATAAGGCAGAAAAGCTCCTTTATGCTAAAGTGTTTGTACTGCATATGTAAACCTGTGGGGATTTTAGACCAATAACAGAAAAAAAAGCTTTTTTTGTGTGTATAACCAAAAAAACAATAACAGAGTTTTTTCTAAATCCACTGTTGCGTGTCTGGTGTTTGAAGAGACATTGGCAAGCAGACATGCAGTGAGACTGAAAACACCAGAAAGGAAACACACCTGTTTCTATTTACTTTCCACTGAAAACATCTCTTCATTGAAATGTTTATTATTGACAGGCCTGGGAAAAAAATCCTTATGTCTGTAATTTAAACATTAAACTAAGAAAAGGTTGAATCCCTATTGTCCTCTAATAATACTAGCTTTAACCTGTGCTTCCTGCCATCTGAGGAACATCGTACACATGATGTATTCTTCCTGTGTTTAACCACTTAGCCATGCCCTCTATGCATCCAGATATCTGCTGCTGATGGGAAAGTACTTCTTATGGACTTAATGAATGCAGAACCTGTGGTTCAGATACTAGAAGTATAACTAAGTCCCTGCTGTACACATGCAGAGTAAGTTGCCCTGGTTTTCTAAAAGATTTTATTTTAAAAAATCTGTAACTCAGTAGATGCAGTTCAACATTTCCGCTTGATGTTGTAGAACAGAATTATAACCTTAGTACAGCAGCAGAAACAGCAAACTACCTTTATCAATATCAGTTAGTTTGTACAATATTTTCTTGATTATTTGACAAGTTGTAATTGAAAAATGTAATTCAGTTTTTACAAAAACAAAACAAAAAAAACACTCAAGAGAAAATCCTAAAAAGTCTGGTGTGACCCCAAACCCATAGATACTGAGTTCACTGTCATAGAGGAGGTAAAACAATAAAATATAGAAAAGGTTTACATTTGAATAGCTTTAATCAGAGTCTTCTTCAAATGAATTCAATCTTAATTATAACTTGTAAACAATAGTTGGTGCCTAATGATTTAAGAATTCACTGTTGCAGCTCCTGAAATCATCTGAATGTATTATTAAATGCAGGTCAACTTAAATAGTCCAGTATACAAATTTAACCAAAAACAGCGTTTGTCTTTTGAAACAGGAGTGTTTCAGGATTTAGTTATTGTGTGTTTGTTAACTATCGTCACCCAGGTGATGCTCTCTCTCTGCCTCCATTGACTTCTTGCATCTGACTGATTTCCGAGCAGGTGTCTGTGCACTAGTAGCTCCTGCAGCCTGACACCTGATACTAAACTAATCTAGCTGATTTAAGGAACAGATACTTTAAAGGGAAAAACTTTAGTAGAGCCTCTTTTGTTTGAGCCACTGGATCTGCAGCTCTTTAGCTGCTGCCTGGTCTGATTCTCTCCTCCGTTTCTCACCGCTGTAGCATCAGAGGTGATGAAGTTAACAGAGATAAGACTGCTCTCTCTGCCTCAGATTAGGATGGTTGGACCAAGTGTTACTCCTGAACTGTGTCTAAACTCAAATTCCAGAGACATAAATTGGCCTTTTGTGTTATGATTGGTTTTATTTTGCTACTGTCCTCTCTGTATTATAACATGAGAAAATCATGTCATATTAAAAACTTTAAGATATATTTTTTATTTTTAAACCCCCTGCAGGTTATTGCAGCCTGATTACAATGCATTTAAAGGCAATAAGAGGTTGTCTTGTCATGCCTGGTTACAGCCACCGTTTATATTTTACTACAGCCTCACCCCAACACTCAGTACTCTAACTCCTTTTCAGATGCCAATGTTGTTTTAGC